CATCAAGCAGCTTCTCTCATAACATTTATGCGATAGACATCAACTTGTATATGTTCACACTTCAGTTTCGTTACTGCGACCAGTCAGTAGTTCTTTTCTTTTCAGTTTAAATGGTTTTATTTTAATAAAAGTTGGTGAATGTATTTATCTTACTGTAAATAACAAGTGAAAAAATTTTCAGCCTTATCAGTTGGACATTCCGGTTTTTATACTGCTTTTTTTTAATTCACTAACGCTCTAAAAATGAATATTTCAGCCGCAGTAAAGAATCAACGTTGGCGGATTTTGGTTCTTGACATCCTTTACGATCGGTTACGATGCCTAGAGTACGGAGACCTGTACGATTTCGTCAACTTAGTGAGTTTGATAGGGGCCGTATAGTGGGACTTCGGGAAGCTGGACTTTCTTTTCGGGCAATTGCAGTTAGAGTGCAAAGAAGTGTAGACACTGTGGTTAGGTGTTGTCAGGCATGGCTTCAAGAAGGCCGTACGCAAAGAGCAAGGGGCACTGGACGCCGCCGTAGAACAACAGACCGTGAAGATCGCCGCCTAAGATTATTGGCCTTAAGGGACCGTTTCTCCACTACCAGGTCCATTGCAAATGAATGGTTTGCAGAACACGGAAGACCTATTGGCATGCGAAGTGTTTACCGACGAATGAGAAGTTTTGGCTTGTTTTCATACCGGCCAAACTGGGTCCTCCCTTTAACTCGAGAACACCGACGTAATCGCCTTGAGTGGTGCAGACAACGGTCACTCTGGGATCAGGAATGGAACAGTATTGTCTTTAGTGACGAGTCTCGATTTTGTTTAGGCATGCACGATGGTCGTGCCAGGGCTAGAAGGTGACGTGGTGAAAGGAGGAATCCACAGTTTTTTGTTGAAAGACATGTTCAACACACTGTTGGAGTTATGGTTTGGGGTGCTATAGCTTATGGTTCCAGGTCACCTTTAATCTTCATCAGAGGTAACATGAACGCGCAGCGTTATATCCACGAAGTTCTAGAACTCCATCTTTTACCCTATCTTGACACCCTGGCAGATCCAACTGTCCAACAAGATAATGCCCGACCACATGTTGCAAGAGTCACAATACATTTCTTTCAACATAATGATGTCACATTGTTACCATGGCCACCAAGATCTCCCGACTATCCCTAATTGAGCACGTGTGGGATATGATGGGTAGGAGATTGCTCAATTTGCAACGTCCTCCTCAGACTCTAGAAGCACTTCGAGAGGAGTTGGTGGTTGCCTGGAATGAGATACCACAGGAGGACATTGACCACCTGATCAGAAGCATGCCTAGGCGCGTTGGAGAATGCGTAGCACATCAGGGTGCATCCACACATTATTAAAGGTCAAAGGCCTTTAAAGCAGTGCAATCATTTTGAAATTTTTATCATTTACTCATTATGCTTCATTAAGTACTTATACAAAATTTTATTAAAATAAAACCATTTAAACTGGGTGTTCGGATTTATATGTCACTTAGTATATATGCTGATGAAATAATAATGATTAATAGTCGTACATCAATTGAAGCCCCCTTAAGTGAAAACATGACAAGTGAATTGAAAACTTGGTTTACATCAAATAACCTATCCCTCAATGATAAGTCACACAGTCTATGGTTATCATCATAACATTAAATTACTTGAAAGCAATACATTCCTATGAGTACCTTGGAGACTCATGGATTACGTGTTATGAAGGCTCTACAAGATATAACCCAAATAGCAAAACTAAGTTTTTTTATGAAAGTTGTCATATTAGCGGAAACGTATTAAAAACTAAAATATAGTTCTAAAAACATACGATATTTTTATTTAATATTAGCCAAAAATACAGCAAATCAACATTACGTTACATCGCCTTTTTCGACTGATTACTGCTTCGATACGTCTTGACGTAGTGTCAAATAATGTTTGGCAGTCATTTGTTCTAAATTTCTTGTCGATATGATTTTAATTTATGGCGAGCGTCTTCAAAGTGCTACCGAGGCTTCGCGAATGCATGCAGATCGCTTTCCTTAGCCTTATTACTCGAGGCCCGGTAAATTGGTTTACCTTGTTTATAGAGCTAGAGATACACGTCGTTTTGCGGGAATGTCGAGATGGACACAGTGGGAGATCCTGCCAACGACAAATTATGCAAACTGAGGAAGGAGCTTTGAATATTGTAGAAGAAAATCCTTCAATGAGCACTAGGGAAGTGGTTAAACAAGTATAAGTCTCTCAAGGTGTGGTAAACGCTTTTGTACAAATCCTCCAAGCTGAGGATTTTCCAGCAAAAATGCATTTTTGTGAGTGTTTGTTGCAGTGCACATAAACCGCGGTCGAAACAATACGTAACGCGACGAATAACTGCCAAAATGCTACATTTCCAACAAACATTTTCTTTGAATATTTGGGCTGGCATGGTAAATGTTATGCTTATTGGCCCCGAATCGGCTGGAGGGTTTAAACTACCTAGACTTTCTACGAAACATTTTACTAAGGGCGACAACATTGAACAGTACTTATAAGTGACAGGACCGTACTTGAAATTTGTCTGCAAACGTATGGTGAGTACTTTTCCATTCATTTTTTTTTTCGATACTGTTTCAGCTCACATTAGCTTTGTTAATCACAATCTGATTACATAGTGAGCTTTCATTTCAATACACATTGTTGATGTATTGTGCCTCATGTATTACTTCCGCTGGTAGCGACTCGATCCTTGTACCAAATTATTTCATTAGTTCCAACAAGAAATTCCTGGCTATCAGATACTACATACAGCCATACACATAAATTTTCATTATGATGTTGCTTTGCGACGAGCTACCCTGTTGTGGTCTGCTATAAATGACCATTCGGGACTATCGGAAATACATCGTTGGAAAGAACTGATAAATCCGAACATGTGCAGAGTAAGCGTATATTTACCACCGCCTGACGCTGTAAACGGCGGTGCACGCCATGGATAATTTTACAGAATAGTTTGCCTGAATGTAGCTACTGGACCTATACCGTGGTAGGACACCACCAGGCATGTGAATATTATGAATGCTGAATGGAGATAAGTACTTCCTGATCCTAAACTCCTACCAAGATGTCTTCTATCTGCAGTAATTTATCAAAGAACTTGTTGTAGATGTGAATATCGTCCCTAACATGTCTTATGCTGGTACAAGTAATTAACATGAAACAGATACATGCTCAAGAGAAACAGATAGTAAACAGGCATAACCCCTGTCACGAATGCTAAATTATATCTAAACGATTACAAAAACACGTGGGTCCTAACCGAGAACTTACAGGACTATTAGATGGAATCCATAACGTCTTTCTGCTATGGGCGCAGGCCATGGGGTTTATGTAGGGTACTAATACCTGCACCGTAATTTCGCCATAAAGATTTATTTATTTAATGAGATGGGTTTAGTTGGACAACTGATATAATGCGAGGCTAGTATGCTGATATTAATTTAAATAAATTCCTGCAAAATGAAATTGTAGACCTTTATGGGAGGCTCATTAAGAGGAGAGTTTCTTGCAACGTTTTTCTGTCATCTTTTCAGGAGAATATTTCGTTTTCTACAAAAAACTCTCTACTGAATTCTACTTAGTTTCGAAAAGGACATTTTGTAGGGGACATTCGATTACTACCACTTTAAAGCTGGAAAAAATATTTGGTGTATGAAACAACATTATTGTTGAATTTTTTGCATTCTGAAGCAGCAATGCAGGCTGAAACCAAAACACCGGGGCATCGCCACTGCGAGGTTAGAGACACGTGGTTAATCCGATTTTTGAACCGCTCACGGTTAGTGTAACCTCTTCAGGCAGATTCTTCCTCAATCTCGACGCCGTAGAAACAAAGGAGCGGTCATACCGGACAGTTCTGGATGTACGAAGTTCGACACGGAGGGGGGGGGGGGGAGGGGGTAGTAATGGCAGATCTGCTTGGCAGGCTCGTTGCGCGGTACCATCATGGAAGAGAGCTCTGAGGAGCAAAGCCCGTTAACATAGCAGTAGATTAGAGCCAGATCGTCGGTGCAAAATTGTCCCGAGACTGTCCTTTAGAGATGTGTCAGCTGCTAGTCGGACATCCCTCCTCTGAGCATCATCAAGAATGGACAAAGTCGTCACGGCTGCAGCACCTCAAACATCTGAGCAGTACTCAAAGCTAGGTGTTACCTGGGCCTTGTACAGAGTGAGGAGGTAATGTGGAAAAAGCTGTTTCGTAGCCCTAAACGAATAACCTAACCTTTCCCAGCAGTTGACGCGATTGACGAGATGTGCTCTTCGAGTTAAGGTGTAGTTCGTTATTTTGAATGCATTAAATTGTACCAGATTATTTCGTCCCCAAGCAGTGATAGCGACTAGCAGCTAGTCTTGTCATCCCTAGCTCACCAGCAGAGATCGGCTTGCAACGTAATCATCATACAGAAGAGGTCGTTGATATAATAATAATAATAATAATAATAATAATAATAATAATAATAATAATAATAATAATAATAATAACCCCCCCAACATCACCACATATACAAATACTTCACTGAATGACCTAACACAACACCACCAAGCGGTCAATGCTGGTAATAATGTTGCTGTGGACGCATCGCCCCAGCCCATGTTACCAGCCCATAGTAGACGGCAGAGAACCACTTGGACGACAGAAATGAATGAGTACGTGGTTCGCTGCTACTATAGAATTACCAAATTGCAAACTTCACAGGAACCTTATGGTGCTGAATTGCATAAATTAGTGACAGAAAAATTTCCCCAGTTAAGACAAAAGACACTGCAGAACATCCTAGACCAGCGCAGATCTATATTTGTGAACAGCAGATTGCCAGCGGAGAGAATAGATACAATTAGGCATGAAGTAGCAACCGAATTGGGCATGGTAAATGATGCACAGCAGAGTCAAGAGCAAGCAAATGACGCTCAGACTGAAACGCCAAGCTATTCGCCATCAGTGCTGGAGGAGGAATTTAGAGCCATCATAATGAGCTATGACGGTATAGATCCGACAAAAAAGCCTCGGCTACCCAAACTATTTTGCAACCCAACGGCAGCTAAAAACCTACGTGAAATGAACAGAATTATCGCTGCTGATATTAGCGACCAAACAGATTTTAAGGACCTACACGCCATGATCTATGCTGGGGCGTTCGCGGTTCTAAAGCTAAACGATCAGAGACCTACAGATGTAACAAGTCGGAAAGGAACTAAAAGGCAGCCAGCTTGGGAAAGGAGGCTAAGCAAGAACATAGATAATATCAGGAGCGATATAGCTATCCTAACGCAGTACCAAAAACCGACATACAGCCAAAGAGTGAAAAAGAAAGGGGACACAATAATGCGACGATATACATCGGAAGAAAACCCAACCATAGTCGAAGTTTTGGACCTTCTAAAGCAGAGACTATTAGCCTTATCTCAAAGAGTGAAGAGATATAAGAAGAGCAGCCAACGTCGTAAACAAAACATCCTATTTCATAGAAATCAGAGAGCATTTTATAAATCTGTGGGCAAAGAATCAGATCGTACACTACAAGGAAAAACATCATTTCCTAACACAGAAGACATAAGACACTTCTGGAGCGGTATATGGAGCAACCCCAGAGAACACAGAACAGCGCATTGGTATCAGCAAGAGAAGGCTAGAACTTCCATACAAGCAATGCTGTCTTGGACCATAACTAAGGATGATGTAGTGAAAGCAATAGGTAGGACTTCCAATTGGAGAGCTCCAGGGCCAGATGGTGTTCACAATTACTGGATAAAGGCATTTACTTCCACCCACCAACAACTTGCGAAATGCTACTCAACATTCCTCGAGAGGCCGGAAACTATCCCAGAATTTCTAACAACAGGAGTTACATACCTGATCCCAAAAACTGAACAATATACTGCTGATCCCGCAAAATACAGGCCAATTACTTGCCTTTCTACAGCGTATAAACTCCTTACTGCTATATTGGCTGACAAAGTACATAATCATTTGGAACGTAACAACTTATTGGATGAGGAACAGAAGGGATGTCGGAAGGGCTCAAGAGGATGTAAAGAACAACTGATAATCGATGAAATAATAACGGGTAGTGCCAGAAAAAAGAAGTCGCCCTTGTTCACTGCATACATCGATTATCAGAAAGCATTTGATAGTATTCCACATTCATGGTTAACGGAAGTGCTACACCTTTATGGCATAGAAAACCATATCGTGAAACTATTGACCTATGCAATGTCCAAATGGAAAACGCGTCTCTGTCTTAACACCCCAGACTCGCAGATAGATGCTGGAGAAGTCAGTATAAAACGAGGGATCTTTCAGGGCGACTCTCTAAGCCCGCTATGGTTTTGCCTAGCTTTACGCCCACTAACATCGCTGTTAAACAGTCAAGAGAAAGGCGTAAAGATTGCCGAGGATGGTACACAACTATCTCATCTTTGGTATATGGATGATCTGAAATTATTTGCAGAGAAGAAGGATCACCTACATGCGCTGTTGGATTGTGTGAGCAGATTTAGCAAAGATGTGCAAATGACGTTTGGTTTAGATAAATGCCGCATAAGTTGCATGACTAAAGGTAAGTGGACAGAGCATGAAGGGTATAAAGTAAGAGGGTCGCAAGGGGAGATCATCAATATGCAAAGGGATGAACGCTACAAATACTTAGGCTACCTCCAGGCACCAGACATAGACCAAAAAATGTCGAAGCAAAGATCTACCGACGAATACTTGAGAAGATTAAGGATCATTCTTAAATCAGAATTGTCTGCTATAAATACGTCTGTTGCAGTGAACGCCTATGCAGCGTCAACGCTTACCTACACCTTCGGTATACTCAAATGGACTGATACTGAGCTGAAAGCCCTAGATATAAGTACCAGGAAAGAATTCCGTCGGTATAGGGCGCATCATCCTAAAAGTGCAATAGAGCGCTTCCACTTAGCACGGCGCGAAGGAGGAAGAGGAATCCCCAGTATGGTGTCCAGACATTACCAGCAAATTGATAATCTAAGGACATACTTCTTGGAAAAGGCGAGTAGTAGCAGAATACATCAGGCACTAGCCAACAGAGATAAGGGCATTACCCCACTGAACCTAGCCAACCTAGCTCTCAATCCATCCGCGATGGTGTCATCACCCCCCGAACTGATCGAGAAGTGGAAATCCAAGCCACTACATGGACGCTATAGAACGCGAATTGAAGACCAGGCAGTAGACACCAAAGCATCCCAAGAGTGGGTGCGTTCCAGTAATCTGTTCGTGGAGACAGAGGGGTTTGTGATGGCTATTCAAGACCAAGTGCTGCCTACGAAAGTCTACAGAAAGCGAATAATGGGAGAAAATATAGACAATATCAAATGTAGAATCTGTGGAGGTAAAGACGAGAACCTAGACCACATTATCGCAAGCTGTTCCACACTCGCCCCAAAACAGTATCTAGAAAGACATAACGACGTGGCAAAAATAATCTACTTGGAACTGGTCAAGCGCTATCTCAATGAAGGACCTACTGAGCCATACTATCGCTACACAAAAGAGCAAAAGATAACATACATTATAGATATCGCGGTTCCGCTCCCTGTCAACCTTCAAAGTACCTACTCAGAAAAAATCAACAAGTATCTACCACTGTCAGAAGAAATAAAGCGGATGTGGGGAATGAATACAGTTACGATTGTACCGATAGTTATTGGCGCAACAGGTGAGGTCCTTAAGAAGTTACACACAAGTCTTGAAAAGTTAGACCTTGACCAACATGTTTACAAAAAAATTCAGAAAGCCGCTTTACTGGGGACATGCAGAACAGTCCGTAGGGTCCTGGCAGGCGAAAACTCGACATTGTAACGTGCAAAATTGGTAGTTGCCTTCAAAATGCTTACATCCTCTGGTGCAAACCTGGATTAAGCATATCAAACCCTCTCAGAGGAGATGATTGAATGAACAAATAATAATAATAATAATAATAAGAAAGAGATGAAGAAGATTATATCGGAACGTCTAGGAGGCGAAGACTTCAACAGAAACTCAATCGACAAGATCAAGAACGTCGCTGAAAGTGGCAGACTAGCAAAAGTAGCCTCGAAACCATTGCACGGACAGTTCTTCCGACAACTCGAGAGAACAGAGGTAGATAAACGTGGAAGTGTCAGTTGGTTGAGAAGCTCTACGCTGGAAGCGGAAACAGAAGCTCTGATAGTATCTGCTCAAGATCAAGCATTAAATACAAGGTACCAACAAAAGTATATACTAAAACAAAGTATAGACAGTAAATGCAGAATATGCGGGCAGCCCGACGAACACATCAGCCATATAGTAGCAGGTTGCCAAGTACTAGCCCCTTCAGAGTATACCGCTAGACATAACAATGTAGCTAGTTACGTTCACTGGAAAATATGTGACTCGTTTGGTATTCCAGTTACAGATAACTATTATCAGCATGAAATCCAGAGTGTCACCAACATCAAGAATGACACCACCGATTATTATTGTGTGGGATGTGCCGGTAATAACGGATCGGACAATAAAAGCAAACCGACCTGACATTATAATTCATAACAGAAAGGAGAAAACATGTCAACTAATTGATATAGCGATTCCCGACGATTCCAATGTAAAATCGAAAGAAAATGAAAAGATATCTAAGTACAGAGATCTCCAGATAGAAATACAGAGGATGTGGCATGTGGCATTAGGAACTATCACCAAAACCTTCCACGGGAATTGTGACTCAATACCCGGTAAACCAGCACTCTACCAAATTCAGAAAACGGCACTACTAGGAACAGCGCATATACTAAGGAAGGTGCTTGGATAGTCTCTTTGATATCTGGTTGATATCTGGTCTATCCTTTATTACCAGACAGATACGTCTGGGCAAGAAAAGAATAAATAAAAATAATAATAATAATGTTTATTTTCAACGGGCAGGCACACCCAATATGTAAGAGAAACAATGTTGGGATCAAGATCGATCCCTGAGGAACACCCTCGTTGATACTTTGGGATGAAGGGATTAAGTTAGTCACTGATCTGCATAGCTTCTCTGGGAGGCCATAGGATGGAGGTTTGCATAGGAGGGTAGCATGCTACAACTGATCGAAAGTTTGCTCCACGACTATGTGACGTAAGCTATGATGTTCCCCGCTGGTGTCGAAAGATATACTCCAGAAACTTCCAATTTTTGCAATTCTCCAGTTCTGTTTGATATAATTCAATATCTATATCAAAATGATTCATATCCAATATTCTCCATCGATATTTAATAACATACATTTTGTTGTTGGAATCTCATTTCTTGGTAATTGTAGATCATATTTGGGTCCATCGTGATACATGCCAGTATGCCGTATTATTGACTTGTTAAAAAAATTCGAAATTCATTGTCAAGGCAAGTCGCCTTTAATATTTGTAATTTTGTCTTCAAAGTAAGTTGAAGTGTGCTTGTGACTGCGCCTTAATCTTTCTTAACTTTTTTCAATTGTATATTTTCATAATCCTTTCCTGAAATCTGGTATCGTGTTTTCAATGTTTGAAGGTTGCAATAGCACCTAGTAGGGTTGATCATTCATGAAGGAAGTTCTGTGCTTTGACATCATTGGTTACAAATTCAAACATTACATCTACTGTTACGGAAGGCATATATTTTCAAAAAATAATAAACCCCATGACAACAAGATCATATGACTTAACAGGCGGCATCTTATTGAAATAGCGTTGTCTTCATTTTTTTTTGGTAATATTTCACGTAAGTATTTCACAAAACGACGTTGGATTCTCTCGAGGCTTTATAGGCCGGGTACCAGATAATCGAACAGTATTATTATTATTATTATTATTATTATTATTATTATGATACTTGAGATGAGCAGAGTACACAGTACTATAAACTTATGCAGTAAATATAGTGTACGGACACGTAACACAAATACATCAAATAGAAAAAAATAAAAAAAGACAGTTCATAGCTATAAAGTTTGTACACTCCTCCAGCTATCATACTGCACTTTGAAGCTATTAACTGAAGTAGCACCAACCACACTTTCAGGTAAACTATTCCAGGTGTTGAATATGCGGTTAGGAAGAAACCACTGTCGGACTGTTGTTTTAAATGGCTCCTTATGCAGTTTGAAGCTGTGTCCGCGTAGATTGCTGCGCGACAGACGGTATAGATGCATGAGGTTGGTGCCCATCAAACCATGAAGTATCCTGAACGTAACTATAAGATCGCCACGAAGTCTTCGCTCAGAGAATGAGGTCAGGTTGAATAATTCAAGGCGATCTTCATAGCTTGGTCTTCGTGCTCCAAAAGGGATACGAGTAGCCCGACGCTGTACTGATTCGACGAGAATTCTATCGCGCAGAAGCACAGTGTCCCATACCGGGCCAGCGAATTCAAGAATTGGCCTCACGAATGCCTTGTAAATGTAGGCGCAAGTGTTGACATCGGATCCTTTGAAAGACCTCTCCAGCATGTATAGAAGTTTCTTGGCTTTTGATGTAACGTGGTGAATATGCTCTGACCAGGAAAGACGATCGTTGACTACAACGCCCAGATCAGTGTGGCTGGAAACTGCTTCGATGTTGTGGTCA